CAAGGCAGCTAGGTGGTTCAGTGGAGAGAGCAGTGGGATAGGAATCAGGAAGATTCCTCATGAGTTCAAATCCTGCTTCAGACACTTACTGGTTGTGTGATTCTGGCTAAGTCATTTAACCCTGTTTGCCTCAGTTTCTTCTTCTATAAAATAAGCTGGAGAAAGAAATGGCAAATCAGTCTCTTTGCCAAGAAAACCCCAAATGGGGTCACGAAGAGTCAGATACAACTGAAAGGACTCATCATAGCAGTATGATGTGATCAGATCTGCACTTGAGGAAGATTACTTTGATAGCTGAGTGAAGAATTGACTGATTAGAATGATGGGAGAGAATTGAGGCAGAGGCCAATCAGCCCTTAATTTCAATAGTTTAGTCACGAGGAGAGTAGGACCTGTTGGGTGAATGGAGAGAAAGGGAAACAAAGGTGTTGTAAAGGTCAGAATGACAAACCTTGGCGACAGATTGGATACGCGAGGTGAGTGCCAATCAAGAATAGAGGTATGACACTGAGGTTATGAGCTTAGATGATTAGGAGAATGGGGTTTCTGTCAACAATGAAAAGGTTGACTCATTGCAAAAGATTTATTAGACAATCTGGACAAGAGCTGAATTGGGTGATATGTAGATGGGTTGTGATCTGCGCATTTCACGCTCTGTCCCACATACTCTGTGATCTGTGACAGTGACCTTTCTACCATTCTCTCTCAATTTCTGTTTGTCTGTGGGCTGTATGTTTATTGGTTTGTTTGCTTTCTGATCCCATGAATGGCTGTGTCCATATAATAAAAGAAAGCAAGTAAAGATTGACAACCCCTTGGTCATTGGTTCAATGGGAAGAGCCAAACTTGATAATTTAGCTTTATTTAATTTTGCTCTATGCGGACATGCTTTATTTTATTTTGTTTTATGCAGATGTACTCAACGTCGCTTTTGTTCCAAAATGTACGCTCAGTATCAAAAAGGAAGGAATTTTACTTTCTTCCTTATGTGGCCTGATTATCTCTTCCAAATCCCTGATATGTCAGAATTTTCGATTAAGACAAACAACAACAGTAAAGCAAAAAGAAAAGCAGGAACCAAATGAGAAGGTAAGTTTTGAATTTATTGCTTATGGGACCTGCTGCATGCATAAAACATTGAAAGGGTTTGCATTTTTGCTGCTCAGCAGATGTTTTAGAAGGATGAAGTATAATTGGCTGGGATGTAAAGTTAATTAGTTGCAGAATATTTTGTTGCCCTGGGCCCATTTCTATAATATGAGTGCACCTGCAATTTGCTACAACCCATATGTGAACTCATTTAGGAAAAGGGAGAAATTTCCTTCATAGTTCCCTGCCCAGCCTATTAGCAGAGACCTAATCTTTGCAGCCGAGGTTTCCTAGTATTTGTATCAATTAAAATTAAATAAATCACTGATTAAATGGATAAATTGATGGTGGAGTCATTTCCAACCTGGACTTTTCAATCTGCTCCTTGCCGTGTGCATTGCTTTCCCTTTCATTAATTTCCCAAGGAGAAACAACTCAGCTAATACAAGAAGAAAAGCATTGCAGAACTATGCCCCTAAACAGCATTTTTCTGCCTCAGGATGAGTATATTTAACTGAATTAAGGTAAAAATATGGCACTGGAAACAAAGCCAGGAAATTGACACATAGGTGGAAAATGTCTCCCTTGCACTCAGGTAGAGGGGGGTTCTCAGGAAAGAAAGTGATCAGTGATTGCTCTTTGCAGCAGCTTCTCTGAGGCAGAGCTTACAACAGCACAAATACTCAAAGGGGGAAGGTTGACCTGACTGGCAGAAGTCTTTTTGGAGGGTGGGATTGCATAAACTAAACTTTACAACCTCTTAATGGTTTCATTTCCCTCAATGCACTGGGAAGAAAAATTAGTCAATCAATCGATACTCAATTTATTAATCACTTAGTGCCATTTGCTATGATGGTGGTCGATGGACATAGGAAGAAAAAAAACGAAAATTTCTACCACAAGAAGCTTATATTCTCTCAGTGGAATGGGAAATTGAGAAAATGAACTCGCCTCAAAAATTTGTCAATTCATTGTTTTATAGCTATAGTTTAAATATGGTATTAAGTGAATCAAGGACTAGAGTCTTTCCAAAATGCATATTTTAGACAAGAATCAAGATGTGATGTACAGGGAAGGCTATCTTTATTATCTCCTATATTATTATTAATTAATTTTTGCTCAGGAGAGACATATACTGAAAATGATGTTTTCTCCACTAAATTATATTCTCTCCTCCTCCAAACTGTGATTTTCTTTTATGTTTACTGAATATCAAACCATTATATAGTAAACATGGTGGGCACATTAAAAAAAAGTAAACAAAAACAGGACCCAAAGTACTGCAGATGGGCAAAGACAGGTGTCCAGGCATCAATAAATAATTCAAACATTTTTTGAAAAAATTACTGAGAATGTTTTGTCTAAAGGCCTGCCAAATTAGTCTAAGCATGAAATCGTTCATGTAGGAAAATCATTCATAAAGGAAATGCTATGTGAAGAACTACAATCCTTTCTCTTTTTAGAAGAGTGATATAAAGTGATATAAGAGTGGTATAAAAAGGAACTAAAACCAAAACATTCCTTCCTTCTAGCAGAAGCTTATATATACTTATATATGTCACACACATGTTATATATGTTATATACATGATATATACATATGTATCCTTGTATATAATATTTATTAAGCCTGCTACATTCCGGGCACCGTGCTAAGTGTTGAAGATGCAAGAAGAGGTAAAAGACAAATTCTTGTACTCACAGAGCCTATATCTACTATAGGAGGCAACATGCAAGCAAATATATACAAAGCAAGCTATGTAAATAGGATAAATATTTAAAAGTCTATTTTAAAGTCAGGAGATCAGTAGTTGGAGCATAGATGTGAGAGAGTGTTCCAGGCATAGAGGACAGGCTTTTAAGCATTCAGTCTATCAACCACCCGTTTTCCCTTTTGCCAACAATTACATCTCTGCCTCAGAGCAGCTGCTACTAAGAGCAATCACTGATCACTTTCTTTCCTGAGATCTCTGCTCTACCTGAGTGCAAGGGAGACATTTTCCACCTATGTGTCAATTTCCTAGTTTTGTTTCTAGTGCCATATTTTTACCTTAATTTGGTTAAATATACTCATCCTGGGGCAGCTATGTGGCGCAGTGGATAGAGCACCGGCCCTAAATTCAGGAGGACCTGAGTTCAAATCTGGCCTCAGACACATAACACTTACTAGCTGTGTTGACCCTGGGCAAGTCACTTAACCCCATTGCCTAGCCAAAAAAACAAAAACAAACAAACAAACAAACAAAAACAAATAAAAAAAATATACTCATCCTGAGGTAGAAAAATGCTGTCTAGGGGCATAATTCTGCAAAGCTTTGCTTCTTGTACTAGCTGGGTTGTTTCATCTTCCTGACTTCAAATCTGGCCTCAGACACTCACTAGTTATATGACCCTGGGCAAGTCACTTAACTCTGTTTGCCTTGATATCTCCATCTATAAAATGAGCTGAAGAAGAAAATGGCAAACCAATTCAGTTTCTTTGCCAAGAAAACTCCAAATGAGTTTATGAAGAGTCAAACATGACTGAAAAAACGACTCAACAAAACTCCCTAATCTTAAAAACAAACAAAAACAAAAACTTCATTTGAATGATCCTACCACCCATTCAAGCCCAGTCCTATATCTTTTCACTTTAACAGCCAAATTTTAAGGAAAACAAAATAAAAAACTACTTTCTTTCCTCTACTTCTCTCCCATGAACTTCTCAGTTTTTTATGGTCTGGTTTCCCACCTTGCCACTCAACTGAAACTGCTTCTATCAACGTTTCAGTGACTTCATAATTTTTAAATCTGATGTCTTTCTTAGTCATCATCTTTCTTGAACTCTTTAAGTCACAAGTGGGTCCCCTCTTCATGACGCCTCTTTCCTCCCTTCGTTTTTCTGACCTGTTCACATGATGGATGGCTTTCTGGATCCTCTCCCATATCATTATTGATTATTTTTTCCATGTCTACCCCCTGAATAAAATGCAAGCTTCTTGAGGACAGAGGTCATTTTTTTTTCCATCGCTGTTGTACAACACTAATATGCTGCTTTGCACAAAGTAAGTACTTAATAGATGCTTGGATTAGATTGGAATGAATCCATGATTTCATCAAAGGAGTTTTCTCACCATTGATGCAGATTATACCTTTGTTAGGTCATCCTCGTGAATTATGTAGCCCCCTATTAATTCCAGGATCAATCTTTTTACAGTAAACTCCTAAGGCTCTCCAGCCTCCATGATCTAGTATACAAAGTGTTCTATTTGTCTTCTGAAGTCCTTTTGTGGTTCAAACTCTGACAGGTTTCACCAAGCTTTGAATAAAGCTTTTTCATATTAGTAAAAAGTTTGAATTCCATTGGCATTTCCTAGAATCCAAGGGCACTTTTGTACCACAATGAGACATCAGAAGAGGACTTAGGGAAGATTTTTCCTGTTACATAGTTATATTTGTGGTGGAACAGACTGTTGAACTTGGAGCTGGGAATACTTGCACACAAAGCCCTACTTTAGACACTTATTATTAGTTGTATCACTAGTGTGTTACAAGACACTTAAGCACTTTCACTCTCAGTTTTGCCATCTATAAAATGAGAATACTGATATCCTTAGAATATATCTCATTTGGCTGTTCTTAGGAATAAAATGCAATAATGTTGGCAAAACTTAAAGTGATATGCAAATGGAAAATTATTATTATTATTATTATTATTATTGTTATTATTATTCCAAGGGAACTAATAGTAACTCATTGAAAACCCTTTTTATTTCAAAGAGAGATACTAAGTAAGTAATGGAAATTGTTGTTTTTGAGCAGCCTACTGAAGTATGAATTTCTGGCCATTATTAATGATGTTATGTCCACATCTACCAGTGATAATTTATGTTCTCAAATAACAGATGAAACCATTCACAGGAATAGACTTACGTTAGAGCTTCTGAGTAGTTATAATGAGGAGTAACTCCCAGAAACTTCTGCACTTCATCCATCACAGTAGCTGGGTCAGATCTCAACTGTTGTCCATCAATAATCAGCAACTAGAAAACCCAAAATAGTCACTTTAAGAACAGTAAAATCCTAGATGCTTCTCTTGCCATGTCATGAGACAAAAATAAGTCACTGAAGGATCAAAAGAAAGGGGATGTATACTGCCTAGAAAACCAGGGGTGCATGAAGCTTTTTTTCAATTTCTAGGGAGAGTATCTCTACCTTGGGGATTAAACATCTTATTCCAAAATTTCAAGACCTCATGCTGGAGCTAATTGTGCACTTTTTTATTTCTCACAATCCCATGACCAGGTAGGAACATAAATATGAGCTGGAATAGTCCTTAGAATCCATTTGGTCCCAAGTCTTCATTTTACAGTTGGAGCAATAGAGGACAAGAGAGGTTAAGTGACTTTTCCAAGGTCACACAGTATTTGAAGCTAGGTCCTCAGAATCCCAAACCAGTGTCTTTTGCCACAGTACTCTCTGCCTCTACTCTCTGTTCAATGGCAGTGCCCTTTACTCCTCCCTCCCTTCCTCTCTCTCACTCTTCTTTCTTTTCTTCCCTTCCTTCCTTCCTTCCTTCCTTCCTTCCTTCCTTCCTTCCTTCCTTCCTTCCTTCCTCCCTCCCTCCCTCCCTCCCTCTATCCTCTCTCTCTCTCTCTCTCTCTCTCTCTCTCTCTCTCTCTCTCTCTCTTTCTTTCTTTCTTCCTTTCCTTCCTTCTTTCATCTGTCTCCCATCTCACCCAGGCTAATAGTGAAGTAACCAGTTATTGGCCCAATCCTACCGCTAATCTGTCCAGAAGCTTTGACTCACATTTTGGACCTCATCAGTTTGCTCCTCCATAGGCAACCTGGTGGTCCCTCTCTGTCAGGATTTCACCATACTATTTCCAGACTTAGTGCTGAAATTCAGTTAGCTTCAGTTCTCCTGAATCTCAGAACCCCTAAACTCAGGTAATCTCCCAGCTTTAGTCTCCCTCAGTTGTAGGGATTAGTCATACACCACTCTACCTGGCTACTTTCCTAAATAATCCCAAAGCATTTGGTTGTTATCCTCTAAACGTTATTGTGAGACTGCTTAATTACTAGTTATTCCTTCTTGATTTTGAAACAAATTGTGTTTGATTGTGTGGATTTTGCCATGAAGATCAGGTACTTTGCAGGACAGACTAATGAGGAAGACTAGGAACCTCCTGAGAAGTGTTTCCAAAACAAGGGATCCTAGAATCCAATAGTTTATTTAGGTTATTCCTATCCTGAAGCCAAGGGCCTGTTTAGAAGAGTCCACCTAATGTTACCCTGATTGACACGCAGGATTCAGATTCCTGCTGGTCAAAGGGACATCATCATCATCTAGGTTGAAATATTTTGGTCTCAAGAATCTTTTACACTTTTACAATTACTAATGACTCACACTCCCCCTAAGAGCTTTTGTTTATGTTGGTTTTATTTTTCAATATTTATTGCATTAGAAATTTTGAAAAATCTTAAGAGTATTATAAAATAGTTCTGGCATCCTGGATCCCCTGAGGTATCTGGGACCCCTAAGAATCCCTGGACTACACTCTGAGAACTGCTAATCTAGGGAAATGGTTAAAATGATTTCAAGATATTACCTGAGAAGTAGAAAAATAAGTCAACCATCTCTCTATGTGGACTGCATACCATCCAGGGGTCAGGCATCTCTTCTGTAGCATTTTTAATTCAGATGGGGCCCAATGTCCTGTTGTAATAACTTCATAGAAATTAAACCTCAAGGCAGCTGGATCCTCATGAGATCGCTGGTGCTTGAACAAAAAAGTTAACCACAAAGTGAGTTTCTGCAGCAGAGGAATATGTAATCTATAACAGGAGTCCAAGCCTTCACATGGACACAGAAAATTTCATAAATTGATTTCAAGCTCACAAATAGGGCATTAAGCATAAGCTCTGATTGGAAATTTAGACCAGGATTTATTTGAAAATATTTTTACAGTATACACCAAGTAGTATGAGTGCAAGTAAGCCAGATACATTCATCATTGTTTTCCTCTCTAAATAATGTTTCCATACAAAGCAGAGGCACGATTTGAATGATGTCAGAAATGCCATTAGATGTCAGGCTGACAATGATGCATATACAATGAATTTGATAGAAGGAGAATGTAATGGGTATGAGCACAGCTTCCATGACTGCCTTCAAGTATCAGCTAAAATCCTATCTTATTCAAGGAGCCTTTACTGGTCCTCTTTCCCCTGAATTTACTTTCCATCTACTGTGCCTATATTTTGTTGTAGCTCCCAACAGAATGTAAACTACTTGGGACTGTTGAACTACAAGGATTATTCCTCTTCTTTTCCTTTCTTTTCTTTTTTCTTCTTTTCTTTCCTTTTCCGTATTCCTCGTAGTTTAGAAGTACCTGACATAAATTCTTATCGACTGGCTGTGTATTACTATGGACCTGATTATAGCCATAACTTCTACTGAGGTATGTGTCCTCTCCCAGTGGTTCAAGAGGAAGAGGCTAGAAGGAGGGCAAGGGAGGGGAGAGGTAGGAGTGCAGAGTGACCTTGTTGTGTTGGGGTATATGTCCTCTCCCAGTGGTTCAAGTGGAAGAGGCTAGAAGGAGGGCAAGAGGGGAGAGGCAGGAGTGCAGAATGACCTTGTTACTAGTGCCTAGCTGTCATATATTTGAGAATACATGAAGTTACTAGTTCCCACTCCTCTTATTCTTAGCATTTAGGCCCAGTTCTAATTACCAAAAGATACCAAAAAGGCAATAAGGCAAAACTGTTTTGGGTACACCGACAGCTGTAATTTGTTCAATAGAGAGAAATGTCCAAATATGAAGGGGCAACAAATTATATTTTCACATAAGCGGGGCCAGTTTACATAAGGGTATTGGCAGGAATTTGCTAGTTTGCTACCATAGAAAATAAGAGAGTAGTCCCCCCATCTAATAAAATTAGGAAAAATCCAAGGAGGTATGGGGAATCAGGGTAAGCTTTCTATACTCTTGGGGTTCTTAATCCATAGTCCGTATTCTCCTTGACTAGATAAGATTTCAAGAGATTTATGTCAGTATGTGTGTGTGTGTTGTGTTGTGTCTGTGTCTGTGTGTGTGTCTGTGTGTGGGGGGGGGGTATGTAATTTATTTGGAAACTTGAAAAGCTGTTCAAGACAACCTAAGTCTAAAAATGAAGAAACAGAGAAAAAACTACTGGTATTTAATTGATAAGCCAGAAGCCAGAAAAAATACCAGGTATGACAAAGGAAGAAGAATATAAATGGAAAAATGCAGTAATTTTCCAGAAGAGAATATTAAAATACTGATAAAACTTGTGGTCTCATTTCTGTTATAAATATAAGTAGTATGACTAATACACAAATTGAATTGGAGAGTCAAGGAGATAAATTTGTCTGCCAAGGTATCATTGAGGTTTGGGGTGATATTACTCCTAACTGGAATATAGGTACAGGAGGACATATTTTTAAAAGGATGTATTAGGTAAAGTCACATGGCAAAGAAATCCATAAATGAGAGGCAGAAAGCATGAGGGAGACCATTTGGGTGAGGGCCAATGGAAAGAGGAGAAAAACCAATTTTGTCAGAGACCATATTACAGATATCCCAGAGAGCAAGAGGAAAGATGTTTTTAGTCATCGACATACTGTAGAGGATGCAGAGGAAAGGTGACCAGAATTGTTAGTCTAGAAACTGTCATACAAACATTGCTTAAAGGAAGTGGGGATAGTAAGCTAAGAGAAGAGAAAGCTGGGGGGGAGGGAGGGTGGCAGATGTTACTTGTAGGGAGTCACCTAAAGAATTTAAAATATTAAGAAATAAACTCTAGACCTTAGTTGCGAGCAGGTGTTCTCCCAGTTGCCAAAAAATCTCAGAAGGAAAAGACTGATTTAGGAAGATTTTAATCTCCCCCTCCATGTGCAGGTCACTTCTTTAATTTTGTAGGCCTGTCAGGTGGAAGATTAAGAAATGCCCTGATTGGTCCCGGGTGCAAAATTAGGAGTAATGAATGGAACTTTCAACTTGAGTTGATGTAAGAAAAAAAAATTCTGAACAATAGAACTGTTCACAGGTTGAAAGGGCTCACTTAAGAGATAGTGAATGTCCCATCACCGGAAGTACTTAACTAGCGGCTTTGTAAAGATGCTATGGAAGAAATTCTTATTCAGATATACATTTTGACCAGAGAGTTAAGTAGATCTTAGAGACCGTTGAGTCCAACCCTTCATTTTACATAAGAGGAAACTAAGAGGCCGAGAAGCTGTTATTTGTTCAGGATCACAGATGGCAAATATTTGAAGTGGGAGTCTTCCTGATTCTATGGACGATTCTAGGTGGCTCAGTGGGTAGCACATTGCCCCTGGAGTCAGGAGGACCTGAGTCAAATCCAGACTCAGACACTTACTAGTTGTGTGACTGTGGGCAAGTCATTTCACCCTATTTGCCTCAGGGTCCTTATCTGTAAAATGAGCTGGAAAAGGAAATGACAAACCAATCCAGCATCTCAGCCAACAAAATCCCATATGAGGTCATGGAGAGTCAGGACTGACTCAAACGATGCCACAGCACAAGAACTTACTAATTCTAAGTGCTTTAAACTCTATCCGTCAATACTTTCTGCCTCGAAGGTTTTGAAGTTGGATAATCTAGTTTTGAGTGCCAGCTATTCTCCCTGTTTACCTGAGTGGCCTTGGGCAAGTTGCTCTATCTTTATGAGGCTCAGTTTCCTCACCTTTAAAATGAGGAGGTTGAGCTAGGTCATTTCCAGCACAAAATCTACGATCCTTCCTCTGAGGCTTCTTCCAAATCTGAGATCTGTAGTTCCAACATGTGCTGCTGATACGGCTTTGAGGTCCTCACCTCAAACCATCAGTCAGCAGAGGCACAAAAGGTATTTTATTTGGATGTGAAAATGGCTAATAGAATGGTTAGGCATAAAGTAGATACAAAAGGAAGAGAAGGAGCAAGGATGGATTGATACTACATAGTAGTGGCATTGATTAGGGTGGGCCATATAGTAGAAGAGATAGTGACTTGACAGATTTTGGTTTTCTGTCTGACAGTTTCTCTCTATTAGTGCAGTATTTACTGAGCACCATGTATGGAAATGCATTGTACTATGTGCTTTGGGTAATATATATATGTGTGTGTGTGTGTGTGTGTGTGTGTGTGTGTATATATATATATGCATATAATGTATATACATATGTGTACATATATTTATATGTATATTGTATACATATGTGCATTTATATATGTATATATGTCTACATGTGTGTATACACGTGTATATGTATGTATGTATATATACATACATATACATATATACACATATATATATATATATATACGTATATATATGTGTATATATGTATATGTATGTATGTATATATACATACATATACATATATACACATATATATACGTATATATACGTATATATATGTGTATATATGTATATGTATGTATGTATGTATATATACATACATATACATATATACACATATATATACATATATATATACACACACATACACACATGTATATATGGTTTGGATCTATGATTTCATTCATTAAGGATTCATGCTATCCAAGATCTGTCGCTTATAATTTTAGTGAATTTCCTGGAGCAATGAGAAGTTAAGGGTTTGCTCATGTTTATATAACTCGTACATGTCAGAGGCAAGATTTAAGTTCAGCCCTTTCTGGTTCAGAGGCCAGCTCCCTATCCCATTACATCATACCACCTCTTCACACAATACATACAGTTAGCCCAAATGTGGAAGTGACGGATGACCCAGTCAGTGCATACAAATATCAATAAAATGTAAGCATGTTATGTTAGTTCAAAAATTCTTAATTTTCTATCCCCTGGAGTGATAAATAGGAAATAATTTAATATATTTGAAAAATGGCCAAAGTACAAATATGTGTAGAAGGTTCACGATGTGAGATGTACAGAAAACAGTATTAAGCATTTACTCTGTTTTATATTGCTTTGAACAAATTCAACATAAACGTTTTTGTGGGGGGTGAGGCAATTTGGGTTAAGTGACTTGCCCAGGGTCACACAGTGTCTGAGGTAGGATTTGAGGTCAGATCCTTCTGACTTCAAGGATGGAGCTCTATCCACTGCACCACCTAGCTGCCCCTCAAAATAGACTTAAAAATAAAACCCTTTCTTCCATAAAAATGAATCAGGAAATTAGCATGTCAAAATAATAATATTGAAAATTTATAATAATATTATATATGATATAATAAATGATATAATAAAATATTATGTTATATATGATGTAACATATAATATATTATATTATACAATAATATAATATATAAGTTTGCACTTTTAAACCTCATAATAATCCTGTGACATAGTGCTATTATTGTCCTCACTTTGTAAATAAAGAAACTGAGGCAGAAAGAAAGAAAGAAGTGATTTGCCCAGTGTCATACAGTTAATAAGCACCTGAAGCAAGATTTGAACTCTGATCTTCCCATCTCGAGGTCCTCTATTCTACCCACTGTGCTACCTAACTGCCCCTTTTACAGGGATGTGAAATAACAATGGGTAGTAGTTTAGAGGAACTGTACCTTTATAGAATCCCACTCTTGTTCATTATGAAGATGTGTGCCCAGTATTTACAACAGCAGTGGACATTCGTAAGGGCCTGCTCTAGGAGCCTTATTGAACAAAGAGCAAATTTACCCTATTTACTGAGCAGAAAGGAATGGGTTAGACATTATAAGTGGGGGCTGCATAATTTTAAAATGTGGAGCTACTATCTCATTCTGCACTGAAGACTATTATCAGTTTAAAATATCTCCTTCAAAACATTCTCGTTCAGGCTTTTTACCTAAAGAAGCATCCTACATATGTGAATTTACTTCATTCAAGCTGCTCTTTGGGAAAAAGAGAAGGTTGCTTTCCTGCTTCCACTCCCTAAGAGAGCACTCTCTACCTTTTGCATGAAAGCATCCAGAATTCTTTCCTGAAGGTTTGACTTTAAACCTGTTTTCCTGTGGTTTGGGAGCTCACAGGCTCAACGATTATTTTACTTAACTCACTTTGCAATATGAGAGCCCATATGGTTAGAAAGGTACAGTGTTATGTCCTCCTTGCTCTTTAAAGGGCTTTCGTTGTGGTAGGTGATCGAGGAAATCCGGCAGATGCCTGCCAAAGAGGCTAAGAAGTGACATGTGGCCAGCTCAGTTCATGAGGACTATTTATCAAGTTTGAGGATTATCCTTGTTCCTTTAATCTTTCCCTGTAGGCTGCTGTTCAGATTTCCAGAAGCACGTGGTAGTCCCTTAACACCTTCTCAAAGGGCTGGGACCTGAGAACATTAACTAGTATTTTTTTCTATGGGCTAGATGGCTCCAGCAGAAAAGGGTTTTGGGAAAAAGATTTAAACTATTGGCTTAAGGGGTTTCTACATTATCTGTTAACGATGGGCTAATCTGATTTTGATGAGTACAGAAAATTGATAGGTGACCTTTCTTCTTGGTATGGATAACAGAAGAAATAAATTTTTTTAAATGCAGTGAATTAATTTTTATTCATTTACATATTTGGCAGTGAGATTCCAATTTTGTTGTTGTTTTTGGTGAGGAAGCTCCTTCTTCTATCAACACAGACCAATATCTACTCTGCCACATCTAGTCTTAGCTGCCTGGAGATGTTGAAAAGTTAAGTGACTTGTCTAGGGTCACATGACTAGTATAGAGGCAGGACCTGAGCCCAATTCTGCCTGGTTCTAGTGCTGGTTCTACCGGTTCTAATATGTCTTATTGCTGCTGAAGCAGAGGAATAGGGACTAGATGGACCTATGGTTTCATAGGTATAAGGTGTGCCCCAGGGTGGAAATTCACTCTACCAATGCAACTTGGCACATTTTCTGCAATTTTTTGTTTTATAAGAGAGTTGCTTAAAACCTTAAAAAGTCAAATTCTGGGTCATACTGCAAAACGTATCAGATGCCAAACCTGGACCTTTGTCAGATGCCAAGCCCATGCCTTCATGGCTTCTAGGTCAGCCTTTCTTTCCATTGATAATAATTGAAGAAAGTAAAATTTTCAAAATGTACCTTTATTATTTAATGATAACTAGTAATAATGCAACAATCTATATGCATTATTGCTAGTTATCATTAATTGATAATAATAATTATTATTTTTATTAAACTCCATGACGTATATCAGAAACGTTGGGAAGATTCCCCAGCTCTAGAGTACCTCCCTGCTGTCTTACTTAAAATTGGAACTCTACCAGAATAATTTATTTGGCTTGAGCTTTTATCCCCTGTTAAAATGAAAATTTACCCTAAAGTGGTAACATTTTGAGTTTTATCTGTGACTAGCACGTTAGTATAAATAACAGCCAGCCTGATTTGGAAAGCCATTGGCCCTTCGGGCAGAAGACTTCGGTATCAGTCAGGCATTTACCATTTAATTAATCTCTGATCCCAAGGCCAAATTCCCTATTTCCCTTGGCCTCAGTCTCTTTACCAATAAAATGGGAATGATAGCCACAGCCACCTACTTCACAGGGCAATATGGGTAAAGTACTTTTTAAACGAGAAAATGGTATAGGGAGCTTCTATAAGGATTACTGGATCTGTCTGGTGGGGGAAGTTGGGGGAGGCTAAGTTGATTAAAAGGAACAGGGCAGAGGAAAAGATGAGGTAATGGTAACCTATCCTGCATAGGCTTGTGGGTGGTGGTAAATGTTATAGAGATCCCTGCAAGAATCAACAAAGCTGACCCAGCTTTGGAGCATAGCCCACCCATTCCCTTGCTGGGCCACACACTGAGTATGGAATACAGCTGTATAGAATAATTATATCATGAAGCATTCAAGTTATTCTGTGTCCCTAGAGCCAAGAGCAGAGAAGGGGGTGAGAACTAACGATATGGTTGAATGAGGCTTCTTAAAAGCCAAATATAATGACAATTAAAAATGGAAAGTTGTATTTTACCATAAAGTTCCCATAAGCCATCAGCTGAACTAACAATAATATCTTGAATTTGTATGGTTTATATTTTTCAAAGTATTTTCACACATTTGATCTATACAACTGTACTTTAAGGTTGTCATAAAAGGCAGCAAAAACGGATGTTATCACTACTTTTAGATTTGCTAGTTTCTTTCAAAGCTCAGTTCCAGTGGCGCTTTGCACGTGTGTCATTTCCTGTCCCTCTCAGATGGTTGACTTTCCCTCTAAAATTATCTTGAATTTACTTATATATTTTACATCTACAGATTTGGGTGCATGCTGTCTTTCCCAACAGAATAGAAGTTCCAGAAGGAACTTTTTTTTTATCTTAGCATCCACACCACTTAGCACATAGAGTAAGTGCTTGTTAACATTTGTCTTGATTGATTATTAACATTTACTAGATGACAGAACGGAGGCATGAGGAAAGTTAAATGACTTGCATAAGTTTTCATGATCAGTAATGGAGCTGAAACTTGTATCCAGACCCCCTGATTCCTCATGGTTGTTCCATTATAATAACACTAGCCATACAATTTCTCAACAAAAGTAACTTCAGCTTTATTTCCTCCCGCCCAACACATATTTTGATCCTTTCTTAAAGACAACAGCCACTCATAATATGCATCCCTTCCTTATAGACTTTCATTCATAAGAAGATGAACTAACGTATTTAGAGCTAGAAGAAAACTCCAGTTCCCTAGTTCAAGTCCCTTATGTCAGAAAGTCCTTCAGATATCTAAGACTTAGCTGACTTAACACTGGTCATTCAACTAAAAAGAAGCCATGTGTACTCACATTTTAAGGAAAAATTGAGGACATTTGCTGTGAGGTTTGTCTTCTCTCTTTCTCATTTCCTGTCACTCAGATGCCTTCTGTCCTGATCTCTTCCTTCACTCCTGGCTGTCTTGTATGATGAAGTGGTCTTACTCCTTACTAAGACTACCTCTCTACCTGTTCAAGTGATCCCATTCCACCCCATCTCCTCCAACAGATTGCTTCCTCTGTCATTCCCATTCTTTCACTTATTTTCAATGTTCCTCTGTCTACTGGCTCATTTCCTACTGCCTACAAACATGTCCTTGTTTTCTATGTCCTGAAAAGACATTTGATCCTTCCATCCCCACTAATTGTCTTCCCAAACCTCTTCTTCCCTTTGTAGCTAAACTCCTTGAAAAGGCCATCTACAACATGTACTTCCACTTTCTCTACTCTTATGCCCTTTTTTGACCCCTCCCTTACAATACAGGTTCTTACCTTATTATTCCATTGAAACTTCTCTCTCCAGTGATCTTCTAGTTTCCAAATCCAGTGACTTTTTCTCAATCCTCCTCCTTTACCTCTCTTCAGCCTTTGATGCAACTGATCACCATCTTTTTTTTTGACATTCTCTTCTGTCTTGGTTCTTGGGACACTACTATTTCCTGGTTTTCCTCCTACCTATCTGGTCACTCTTTCTCACTATCCATGCCGGATCTTCATCCAGATCACATGCTTTAAAAATACATCCTCTTCAGGGTTCTGTCATAGGGCCTCTTCTCTTCTCTCTCTATGTAACTTCACTTGGTGATCTCATCAGCTCCCAAGGCTCAAATTGTTACCTCTATGCCAATAATTCTCAAATCTATCTGTCTTGTCCCAAACCCTCTGCTGACTTCCCATCTAACATCTCTGACTTCCTTTTATACATCTCATACTGAATGTCCAGAGGCATCTTGAACTCAACATGTCCAAAGCCAAACTTAGAATCTTTCCCCCTAAGCTTTTCCCCTCCTCCAACCTTCCCTTTTACTATAGAATGCAACACCATCCTCCTAGTCCCTAAACTTCACAACCAAGGGATCACCCTAGACTCCTTGTTATCTCACCCTCCCTGCCATATCCCATCTGTGGCCAAGACCTGTTGATTTCACCTCTCCAACATCTCTCATAAAGCCTTCTCCAATCTCTCTTAATTCCAATCCCTTTCCTCTGTTAATTTATCATGTACAAAGCTTGTTTTGTATATATTTATTTGTATATTATCTCCCCATTAGATTTTAAGTTCCTTGAGGGAAGGAACTATCTTTTGCCTCTTTATATCTCCAGCACTTAGGATAGTGCCTGGCACACTTGTTTAATACATATTTATTCATTCTTGACTGATTATTATTTTTATTTGCTTTCATTTTACATAACACTCAGTGAATCTTGACCACAATCATTCTATATTTAAAGCCTTAGAACATTTTAATACCTGGTACCAGGAGTATGCTCTGTCCGAGGGGTCAATGAGAATGGTGATGATCTTGGCCTTGGGAACAAGAGATGCAGCTCTCCTGGGAGCTTCCTCTGAATGGAAGTAGTTAGCGCTCTTCTCAAAGAGAAAATCATTGGTAATATTGGAGGGGATGGGGAAAAAATCCATATACCTGGCAGAGGAATGAGACAAAGAGCAGAGTCAGATTATGAACTCTTTCATTTTCTCTGTAAAAGTTCTAGCCCTTTGATTTTCAAGTTCAAATTTTACGTAGGGTCAAATTTTAATCATTTGAGGCTAATCCTTAAGTCAGCAGTTTTCCTTGAATGTAAAGAAACAATGTTCAAAGTATTCTAGTGATTCAATTCATTGGAAAAAAAATACTCCTGGCTCATGAGTCAGTGTTATCAAAAGCTAAATCAAGAAAACTAGGCTTATCATGGTTTTTAAAATGAGCCTTCCTCAGAAGGCATTTTTAAACTGCAAAATTATATGTGTGAACTTGAATGTAAAACTTCCTAAATTAAGATTAAAATGTTCTTGTAAGAAAGATGTGGAACTCAGAATAGCAATAAGATACTAAAGAGATTAGAGTATAGTTGTTCTTTGCTTTTTTTTTTTAACTTTTGCATAATTTGTACTATGTAAAGCAACATGGACACATTACCGTCTATCTAAAGTAATTAAGGAAACATTTCCTGCTGTTTTGATCCCATGGAGCCTCTGTAGGTTCACTCTTCCTTATGCCATATAAATGTTCCTCTTTGTTTAGATTATGGAGTTAGTAGGCTCTGAGGTTACACAGTGCAGTGCTTGAATTACATTTGAAACCCTCATAACTGCTCCTCACATCTGCAATCCCCAGGTGTTCCAGAAATAAATATAAGGGGAACCATTCTGAATCCATCTAAGGCTCATTTCTTCCTTGGAAACTGGAGATTGCGTTTTGCAAATGCCAACGTGAGAGGAGCCTTCACTACCTCTCTGCCCCAAATTTAGTTCTCAAGTTGGGCTCAGACATAAGAGAAAACCACTCTTTTCTAATCTCTAGGTCTTTAATGGTGACTCTAGTGTTTTCTAGTGGTTATGGAAGAGCCAGAGAGAATCACATTATCATGATACAGAGTAAGGGCATCACACACATTTAAGAATGTCCAGCCTTGCTCACTGACATCCTTGTCCCTAATCCAGGACTAGCCATGCTCACCAATGGGGATTCAATTAGGGAATTAAGCTTTTGTGTGATGTTAACTCACTGAGGCATGGCATATAAGTGTATGTATCCAAGGAAATTCTCTTCACAGAATGCTCCTTCATTTATTGAGGAATTGGGGGTATCATGCCAATATATACTTAAAATGGTTGGAATCCAAATAAATAAATTAGAGGAGACTTCAGAAGATCAGTGACAGCATCAGGTACATTCTGTTATACTCTAGAAGAAAATATGCATGTCAAAGCATTTTTGGTGATATTGGTTTGCACCATTTATGAGATGCAGCAACTATTTCTATTAAACTATGTAGCGATAATGTGGTTTTGTCAATGTTCTGTTATAATATGAATGTTGAATATCAATGTATTATAGTGCTACCTGTACAGTGTACATTAGGGACAAGGATGTCAGTGAGCAAGGCTGGACATTCTTAAATGTGTGTGATGCCCTTACTCTGTATCATGATAATGTGATTCTCTCTGGCTCTTCCATAACCACTAGAAAACACTAGAGTCACCATTAAAGACCTAGAGATTAGAAAAGAGTGGTTTTCTCTTATGTCTGAGCCCATTAATTATTAAAAAAATTCATATCCTCCTAGTTTCTCCAAGTATCAATAGGAATATAAATAAGAGAAGTGACTATATCTTTAGCAAAAAAAAATTTTTTTTCTAGACAAAATCAAATAACATACTTTAGAAAATTTAAATAACCTTATTAAATATTCTGATGAGGAATATTCCATGTTCTTTATTCAATCATATTATTTTACTAGAAAAATATTATCATTATTGTACTGTCCAAATAAAATTATGGGCAACGCTGATTAAATGTCTCATCATTATGAATTAATTTCTAATTCATTGTGATAGCACTGAGCATAACAAATTAATCTGGTAATTATGCAGATGTCCTGCATACATCTATAATTGCTCCACTGTGATTTAGCGTGTATTAATAATATACTTTCTTTTTCTTATTCTTCTTACCAGTCAATTCCCTTCTGATAGTTGTTTCCATTAAAGAACTGAACTTCTTCAAATGTTTTTGGACTGGGGAGATTGCTGATGATGGAAGGATGCATAAGTAGAAATAAATAAAGTGCAGTTGTCCCTACAGCAAAGAAGAGGAAAAAGGATTATGGAACATAAACATTGAAGAAAGGAGATGTCTCAGCTTTTACTCAAAGCAGTATTTATCAAAAGAAAAAAGAGGGGAAAAAAACATTAAGCAAAACAGTTCTCCCCAGTGTCTCAATGATTTCTTGGAGATGTTCAGCATTCTTAAACTAGCAATATCCTCAATTATAACTTGTTGGACTCAACCAACATTGATGTGACTTCATTTTTGATTTAATATGATTGTAACTAATTTATTATCAAAGAACAACAAAAAATAAGAAATTAATTCCTAAAATAAAGCTAAAACTGAGACAGAGACAGAGATAGAGAGACAGAGAGAGAGAGAGAGAGACAGAGTGGGTGTTGGAGGGAGGGAGAGAGGCAGAGGGAGAGAGAGAGAGAGAGAGAGAGAGAGAGAGAGAGAGAGAGAGAGAGAGAGAGAGAGAGAGAGAGAGAGAGAAGAGAGAGACCAGGTCTTTGTCTTTGTTGTTGCTGTTCAATTGTTTCAGCTGTTACAACTTTTTTCATGACCCCATTTGCGGTTGCCTTTAGGCAGGTAAATAACAACTGATTCCCCCGCCTCCCAAATCTCTAGAAATGGATACTCCATTATTTTACTCAGCAGTGTATTCTTATATTTCAACACTGTGCTGGATAAGAAGTTCTAAATGGAGATATTATTTTTTAATTCACCTTTTCTTTTTCTTTTTCTAAATCTTGACTTGTGTGATAACATCATTTTGGAGAATTCCCAATGTAGAAGTTCACTTCAACTTCCTCCAACAATTCAGATCAACAACTTCTCTGTTATGAGTCCCATTTTACATTTGTTTTAGAACATCAGTTCTACAAGTGAGCTATCTCGACAGGTAAATAGGATAGTGAAAATTTCCTTGTTGGTGTTGTTGAGCCATTTCAGTCGTGTCTGACTCCTCATGACTCCGTCTTGGCAAAGAAACTGTAGTCATTTGCCATTTCCTTCTCCAGTTCATTTTACAGATGAGGAAATTGAGGCAAACAGAGTTAACGGACTTGCCCAGGTTCACACAGCTAATTAGCGTCTGAGGTCAGATTTGAATCCTGTCATTCCGGACTCCAGGTCTGGGGGCACTCTATCCACTGAGCCACCTAGCTGCCCAGGGAACTTCCCTAGCTTACTATATATGGCTAGCTCCAAACCAGCTCATGCTTCATATCCCATCTGGCCACTCACCTGGATCATCCTGCCAACTGCCTGAAACTGTGTACGTCCTCTTCTGCCATGCTTTTCTCCTGTTTTCCACTTCTTACCATGATGTCAGTAAATCAAACCAATACCTTGGGCTTTACTCCCTATTCCTACCTCTTTCCAGTTTGGTCAAGTGTTGTGTCCCCCTATTGAAATATAAGCTCTCTGACAATGAGGAAAAGGGCAAGGACAGATAAAGTCTGTCTGCCTTTTGTATTTTATTTTCCATGTCTCTTATAGTACCTATCACATAGTAAGCACTTAAGAAATGATTTTTCATTCACATGCATGCATGCATTCTTCATTCATTCATTCATTCATCCACTTAGTCTACATGTCAAAGATGTTATTAAGGAAACACATCAGGGAAATTAACTTAGGCTCTTACTTTGGAGCTAGCTCAGTACTACTGCTGAAGGGCAGAAAGGAACTCGAAGAAGAACTGGAGGAAAAACACAAGATACTGCCCTCAGATAGGTGTATATACCAGTTATACATCTCTCTGTGTCTCTTTCTGTCTGTGTCTCTGTCTGTGTCTGTGTCTCTGTCTGCCCGTCTGTCTCTCCCTCTCTTTCTCATTTCTACCTATCTAGGCTAGAATTTTATGAAAGAGGGAACTCCCTGTGAATAGTGTGCTTCACCAGTGCAGATCATCAGCTTAGGTGCAATTTCTAGTCTTATAGGGTTGTGTGAGAGAATTGCCACTGAGAAATTATGTGACTTGCCCAAAGCCAGACAGCCAGGTATATTTCAGGGATGAGACTTGAGCTCAAGTCTTTTGGTCTTTGAGGGTAGCTTTCTCTCCACTTTCCCACCTTGCCCCTTATATGTTGTATTTGCATACATATAATATCACTCATAAGTTACCCCCTAGACAGGTGGAACAGCAAATAGAGCTCTGGGTCTGGAATTAGGAAGACCTGAATTCAAATCCAGTCTCAGACATGTATTAGCAGCATGATCCCAGGCAAGTCAGTCTGTCTTAGTTTCCTCAGCTGTAAAATAGGGATAACAATAGCATCTACATCCCAGGGTTGTTGGGAGGATTAAATGATATAATATTTGTAACATACTTAGCATAGTCCCTGGCACATAGTAGGTGCCTAACAAATGTTTGTTTCCTTTCTCTCCTTCCTCTACTCCAGTTGCTGCACATTCTACATTTTCTTTTTGTGTGTGTCTTCCTTTTTGCTTTAGGACCTCCACCGAGTTCATTTTGATGATGATTTCTTCCATATGACAACATGGGGGACTGGGAAGGCATACAATGTGCCATGTCCCATGGCCATGATCCCTGCTGGGCCAGTCCTGGTTCTACCTGATTCCAAATAAGGATTTTCCTGTTCTGATGCATATTAAGTTTATATATATATATATATATACACACACACATATATATACACACACATATATATATATATATACACACATATATATATACATGTAAGCTTTATATATGTGTGTATATGTGTGTACATACATGTGTGCGTATGTCAGAAAACAGTTCATGACAAATTCATCTCAGTAAAAGTTAGGAGGAGGGGAAGGGGTATATGGAGATCAGAAATTGCTCAGGATTCAGCCTTTGAGCTGCTAGGGAATAGAGAGGTTTGCCCGAGATCACATAGCCAATGTGTGTCAAAGACTAGAGCTGAACTCATGTTATTCTGATGGAGGCCTGCTCTTAGTAGGATTGTAGATAGAGCTGGAAGGGAACTTAGAGACCATCCAGGCCAACCCATCATTGTCCATTTGAAGAAACTGAGGCCCAGGAAGTTACTGTGATTTTCTCAAGGTTCAGAGGTGACACAGGATGGCAGAGGGTGGTTTCAGATACCCTTTGCATTTCCCAAGGTGTCGTGTGACCTTGTACTTTATCAGCTGAAATGTATTTCTTTTATTGCATCATCTCAATCCTTTTAGAAGTCAGACCTCTTCTATTTAGATAAAATTGAAAACTGAAATCTGATATGTGATGATGGAGCATAAAGGGATAAGGGTCTTTGAGGTTATCTAATACAAACCCCTCTTTTTGTGGTTGAAGAAACTGAGATCTTGTCTAAATTTGCAGCATCTCTGCCACAAAATGATAAATGATACAGCCGTTTCCTTCTCCCTCCCTGTCTCCTTTTCTGTCTCTGCCTGTCTTTCTCTCTGTCTCTGTCTCTTCTCTCTATCTCTTCTCTTTCTGTTTCTGTCTTTGCGTCTCTCTGTTTCTCTATCTCTGTCTCTCTTCTCTCTCTCTGAATCTCTGCATTTCTTTCTCTTCCCTTCTTCCCCCCCCCTTTTGTTCTTGCTCTTATTATAAGGGGTGGCTCTTTGGAAGGGGGAAAAGGAAAAAAAAAGATAATATAAAACCAAAACATATTGATAAAATATTTTTAAAAGAGGTGTTATCAAGAGTTGCTAGGGCCCTAATACTGGAATCCTTTTCGCTGCTATCTGACTAGGTGATGAGTTGGGTTCCACAGATACCTTTCAGGAGGTCTATGAACTTAGGTGGGAAAAAATACACCCTTATTTCAATATAATTAGTTTCCTTTGTATTTTATGCATTTAAAAACATTATTTTAAGAAGGGATCTATAAGCTTCACTAGTCTGCCAAATGGGTCTCTCTCTCTCTCTCTCTCTCTCTCTGTCTCTCTCTCTCTCTTACACACACACACACACACACACACACACAAACACACACACACACACACACACACACGCAAGCACACATGCACTATTGGACTAGGATTTTCAAGGGGTTAACACCTTTAATACTAGAGGTGTCAGTCTTCTTAACTCCTTCTGCTTCCTTCTTACTGTCCATTTATCCCTCTTAGCTCTCTACTTCATCTACCTGTGTCTGCCTTGGAACATTGGAAAGGTCAGAAGTGACAACTTTTAAAAGCTATTGCCTTTCATTACTACCTCAGGGTGCTACTAAATAAAATAATTTGGGAACCATTAACTTAATTGTTGACATTTACATTAAAGGAAGCTGGACTTCCTATAATAAGAGTTGATTGGGTACAATTCTTCCATCTCCTGTGAAATGTCTCCATTCCCCCAGTGAGCATGCCCACTGGTGTCAATGGGCATCACCTGCCACTGAAGGAAGAGGAGGCTACAGAAAAGACTTCACCTTAAACTATCAGATTCAAAGGGGATTTAGACATTTTCACATTTCTCATGTTATAGCATCATTATCTGAACTCTGAAATAATTTATTCTTATAGAATATATTTGTGTTAATAACATTTTTTATTTTTTTTTATTGTTTTTGGCAATATTTCTGATTTCATTGCTACAAGGAATCCTGGTGAGAAACCTCCTATCAAATCAGATTTATCCCTAATTTTGAGTTACCTGAGCCAACAAAGGGTTAAGTGACTTACCCGGGTTTATATAGCTACTAGAGCCATTAGTATGACTTGGACACAAAGGTATTAAATTCTTATTAGAATGTAAGCTTTTTGTACAGGAAGCACTTCATTTATTGTATTTTTATCACTGGTGCCTAACATAGTGCTCGGAACAAAGGTAGTACTTTATGAATGTGTAGGGATTGACTGATTCCTTACCGACTTCTTTTTTGTTACATCATTTTTAAAATTATTTATTTATCTACTTTTGCTAGGCAATGGGGTTAAGTGACTTGCCCAGGGTCACACAGCTAGTAAGTATCAAGTGTCTGAGGCCAGATTTGAACTCAGGTCCTTTCCAGAGCCAGTGCTTCATCCACTGTGCCACCTAGCTGCCCCTATCATTTTTTTTT